AATAGTAATAATAATAATAATAATAATAATAATAATAATAATAATAATAATAATAATAAAAGAAGAAGAAGAAGAAGAAGAAGAAGAACAACAACAACACCATAACAAGCAGTGAATAAATGGTCCCTCAACTGATGCTAAAATCCCAAGAATCTCTCTAGCCAACACCTACTAACCCTGATTCAACTTTTGTCATTAAATAAATTATAACCTCACAAGCCATGAAATAATATTAGGTATAATCAGGTTCCGAGTATTATCACGCACGATTTATGCCGAGGTCATACGACCCGATCCAAAAATATATTGTGTGCATTGCCGAGGGTCGAATGGCATGAATCATAGATGCATCTATTAACCTGTCGAGGCGAACGACCCGCTCCCATGAGCGTAGAGAAGTTTACCTCACTCGCGGAAGTACTTGCGACGCAAGTGGACATGTATTTCTTAGAGTTATTATATATTCCTTAATGATTCCCAAAAATAGGAGGTCTAAATTGGAGAGTTTCAACATTACAATCCCTAATCTCAATTTTATTTTAGACAATTAACATGCATAATAAACATAACACTACAGTCAAGGCATGATGTAAATCTAAGACTACCCGGACATCTCATGGAATATAGCTACGCACGGACTCTCGTCACCTAGTGCGTACGTAGTTCCCCACACAAGTAATTCACAAAGAAAATACACCTAAGGGGATGCGTTCCCTCCTACAAGGTTAGGCAAGAGACTTACCTCGTTCTCAAGCTCACTTTTGATCCACAAATACGCTTTAAATCCTCAACTCGGTGCCAAACAACCCGGAACTAGTCAAATATTATATAAATTAATCAACACATGTTCAAAAGTTCATAATCTAGCTATTAGAGTAATTACCCAACCCAAATTGAAAGATTCCTAAAATTTACCCCCGGGCCCACGTGCCCGGATTCCTGAAATGTTTGAAGATAATTATTACCCATAACCTCACAAACTCAAATATATCATTTCTACCCAATTCCACAACCATTTTCGTGGTTAAATCTCATTTTTATCAAAACCTAGATTTTTCATCTAAACCCATAATTTTCACAATCTTATATGTTAAGATCTAACCACAATCTATGTATTTAACTTACATTGGGTGGGAATTACTTAACTTCAATATCTAGGCGGAAATCCCTCTCTAAGAAGCATCCAAAATCGGCCAAGAAGTAAAATAAATGAACCAAAAATGGCCTAAGTCCCGTATTAAATGGACCCTTCTGCCTCCAGCGATTTCCGCTTCTGCGTAGAATAGGCCACTTCTGTGGCTCTGCATCTACGGAAGGAGTATCACAGATGCGGCTCTCCCTCAGCTGGCCAACTTCTGCATCTACGGACAATGGCCCACTTCTGCGAGCCCGCGCCTGCGGCGTACGTGCCGCATCTGCGCCCTCTCTCGCTTCTGTAGTTTCCTTCTTCTCACCTGCATTTTCGCAGGTGCAGTCCAAGCTTCGCTTCTGCGATCCCTGGGCACCCACGCTAGGCCACTTCTGCGGTCGTTGGCTCGCTTCTGCGAGCTCGCACTTGCGGCTAGCTCTCCGCAGGTGCGATTGCACCAGAAGCTCTGCTGCTTCAGCCATTTCTCCAAGTCCAAACGACTCCCGCGCATCGTCCGAATGGCATCCGGGGCCTCTGAGGCCTCGTCCAAACATATCAACGAGTTCGAAGTCGCAAAATGGACCTACTCAACCTCACGAAACACGAAAAATAACTCTAAAACTAAAAATCACACCCCAAACCAAATCAAATGAACTTATGAACTTCAAGTTCTTCCAACTTGCTCTAAACGCGTCGAATCATACTTAAACTACTCAGAATGATACCAAATTTTGGGTGCAAGTCTTAAATTACCATACAGAACTATTCCCGGGCTCATAATCCCAAACAGACCTCGATAACACCAAAACCTACTCCAAACCAAATTTAAAGAACTTTAAAACCTTCAATAAGCCAACTTTCAACTTTAGGCGCCGAAATGCTCCCGGGTCATCCAAAACCCTATTCAAACACACGCCCAAGTCCAAAATCCTCATACTATGAGACCATCAAATCTCGGTTTTGAGGTCATTTAATAGAAATATTGACCCAAGTCAAACTAAACCCTTTAAAGCCAATATTATGGAACTAAGTGTTCTGATTTTAACCCGAACCCTTCCAAAACCGAACTAACCATCTCCGCAAGTTAAAAAATAGCAAAAGCACATACAAGAAGTCTTATTTAGGAGAACATGGATCTAGAAAGTAAAACGATAGGTCAGGTCGTTATATTTACGAAGATTTAGATATAAATCTTCCTAAAGTTGTTGTCAGGCTTGTCAAACCTTTGCACTTCCTTCTTGCTTGTCAATATATCTGGTATCCCCTCGATTACTTTAATTTTATCCAGATCAACTTCAATCCCTCTACTGAAAACAAGTGTTATGATTCACATTCCCTTATTTGAGACTTTCCCTAGTTTTCATTTAGTATTTTATGACATGCGGTTATGGGTGTTTTGGGTCCTGAGAGGTTGGAGTGATTTGGTACACTTAGTTCCTAACTAAAGACCTTAAGTTAAGAAAGTTAAGCAAAATTAATTTTTTGAGTCAATGAGCTCATATTGGTAATTATAATATTCCGATAGGTTCGTATAATAATTTTGGACATGTACGTATGTTTGGTTTAGCACCCGAGGGGCTCAAGGGTGATTCGAGTGTGTGGATTCATATTTTTGTATTGCGGTATGTTTGGTTTAGCACCCGAGGGGCTCAAGGGTGATTCGAGTGTGTGGATTCATATTTTTGTATTGCGGTATGTTTGGTTTAGCACCCGAGGGGCTCAAGGGTGATTCGAGTGTGTGGATTCATATTTTTGGACGTGTGAATTCATGTTCCTATTTTGGGATATTTATTTGGATGTATGATTTACGTGTCATATGGATCCATTCTAGAGTCACTAAACATCGAAATCCTGCTGGCAATGTATGTGCAGGGTTGTGGACACATGGATTTGTGTCAATTTTATATAAAGTGAAAGTTTATCATGCATATACATTTTAGACTCTTATTAATTCAACCTTTTTTAATGTTACTTGATGCATATTCATTTTTTATGTTGTTTTGAAGTTTTAGTACATGTCTTGATCATGATACCTGAAGGAATAACTATTACCTCTCATACTTTTAGTGTGCTTAGTAAATATGTTCTTTCTTGTTGTTCCTTCTATATTACCTATGATTATGAACTGTGCAGGTTTATGGAAAGTAAGTTTTCTAATCAAAATCTTGCCATGACTTCGTTGGAGTTAGAATTAATACTTATTGAGTATATATTAATTTTTATATGCATACTACACTTTTGTATATTTTTTTCAAATATTAATATGGGTACGAGTGTGACCCAGAACAGAGCCTAGTAGTGAATTGCTTGAGAGAGTCGAGGTAGAGCTATTTTTATATCTGTGGTGCCTTAGAGTCACTTTCCTAATTTGTTTATAATTGTTATCTTATTTAGACTATGATGTAATCTTTAGATTTATGTATATTGTTACTCTTAGCACTCATAAGGTTATGACACCAGTTCCGAGGGGTATTTATGGTTGATTTTACATTTATTATTATATTCAAACTTATGTTATAATATTAGCTTTATTTATGAGTTATCTTAGTCTTGTGTTGTTAACAGTAGGTTTCATTTGTTGGTTCGCCTAGAAAATTAAGTTAGGTGCTATCACGACCTTGTGGGATTTTGGATCGTGATAAAAAAAATAAAAAATTTACCAGAAGATACACTAAGTGCAAACTTCTCCTGGTTTAACTTTATATTATATCTTTTGAGAGCTGCAAATATTTTTCTCAAATGGCTTAAGTGATCCACTGACTGGACGAATTTTACTAACATGTTGTCGATATATACTTCCATAGTTTTACCAATGTATTCCTTGAACATCTGGTTCACAAGCCTCTAATATGTGGCTTCGGCATTGCTAAGTTCAAATAGCATTACTTTGTAGCAGTAAATCCCCTGATTTGTGATGAATTAAGTCTTTTATTTATCTTTTGGGTCAATTTTTGTTGTACCCAAAATATGCATCTAAAAAGCTGAGCAACTCATTCCCGACAGTTGCGTCTATGAGTTGATTAATGTGTGCTAGTAGGAAAGAGTTTTGGGCATCGTTTTTCAAGTCTATATAATAAACATGCATTCTCCATTTGCCCCATTCTTTTTTTTGAAACTACCACATGTTTGCTAACCAGTTCGGATGCTTGACCTCTCTGGTTGATCCAATCTCCAATATCTTGGATATCTCTTCTTCTATAGTCTTATTTTGCGTAGATCGAATCTTCCTTTTTTTATTGCTTGATCGGTAAATGATGCTGGTCAATGTTGATTCTTGCGGAACTTATCATATAAACATGGGACCAAGCAAATAAATTGGCGTTAGCTTATAAAAATTCAATTAACTTACCTCTCAGTCTGGGGTTGAGTCCCAAACCCATGTAGAGTTTTTTTCTCGAAATATCGATAAAGAGGATGATTGCCTCTAACTATTCTGTTGTTGAGTTAGTAGCATCTGGTTCTTCAGGGTCGCTAATTGCATCTAAATTCTTGGAGTCTTCCTATTTCGTGTTATTTAAATTTTCATCAATTGAGGGGTATGGGTTTTTGATGAACCCTATTTCTTTGATTGCTATTCATCGCTTCCATCTTTGGCCAGGATGTTTGCTAAAGCCACTGAGTTACTTTCCCAGGTTGCTCTTTGATCCCCTTTGATTTATCTAATTGCCACATAGATGGAATTTTTATTAGCTAGTATAAAGTGAATGGCACGACATCCATGTCATGGATACATGTATGCAATGGCTACATGTATCACCTAGAAAAGGGTATCCTTAACCTTACCCTCTGCAAAAGTGGGTAAGATAATTTTCTTGTGCGTAATTTCACTCGGACTGTTGAACCCAAAAAATATTTGTGCCTTTAGAATGATCTGATCTGTCATCTGCATTTCTTCCAGGACTCACAGGTGCATGATGTTTATGGAGATACATGGATCAACCAAAACACATTTAATATCAATATCAATATCTGAGACTCATAAAGTGATTACAAATGGGTCGTGATATGGGAAAATCAATTCATCGGCGTCTTCATCATTAAAGGTTATGCCATCTCCAATTAATGTTTTCCTACGCCTTTTTCATGAGTAATTTAGACCTTGACATACTTCTTTATAGTTGTGTATGTGATATTGCTGACCTCTTCTCCTCCGAAGATAACATTCAATGTGCTCCTTTGCGATAGTGCTCAGGGAGGTTCTTTGTTACTTATGTTCTTCATATAGTGCTTTTTTTTTTTCGCTAAGTAATTTCTTAAGATATCCTTTCTTAAGTAGATAATCTAACTCATTTTGTAGAAACTTGTAATCTACGGTCATGTGCCCATGATTTTGTGAATTCACACCACAACTCTTTTCTCATTTCCTTATACCATCTCACATCTTCTCCCATATCTCTTAATAAGGACACCAACTCGGAAATACTAACATTGAAGTTGTAATCCTCAAGCTTTGGCACCTCAGATTCCTTGCCAGCCTGAGAAGACAGTGTTGTTCTTTTGGTTGGTATGTCTTCTGTCCCTTTTTGGTTTTGTTCTTTTATCAGAATCTCGTCTAGAAGATGCAGCTCCTCAAATTTCTGCGTTTGTGCTCTGATTGTCTTGATGTGCTGTCCCGATGATCAGTGTATCTGCTTCTTGACTTGCTGTCAGCACCGATATGAACTACCATCTCCTCATTTATTTGTGTTTTGGTGCTATACCAGTTATACACGTCGATCTAGGTTGTTGGTAAAAGTTTTCGTAGACTTTCCTTCAATCTTACAAAGGTTATTGCAGCCTAATTGTCCAGAACATGAGGCAACAACATTCTTTCTCTCTGAAATTGGTCCACAAATTTTCGGAGTAATTTCATGCTCCCACGTTGAATCTTCAAAATATTCCTTCATCTGCTTCTTAACTTTCTAAGCTTTGGTGTGTGCCTTAAGAAAAGCATCTGCAAGCTCAGCAAATAAAATAATTGAATTTTCAGACAAAAAGGAATACAAGGTTAATGCACCTTTTGTGAACGTTTCTCCAAACTTCTTTACGGGTACTGATTTGATATCTTGCTTTGTTAGGTAATTTCTGTTAACTTTAGTTATATAAGGTATGACATGATCCTGGGGATCAAATGTTCTATCATACCTTAGAATATCCGACATTTGAACTTCTTCGGTATTGGCAACAGAGTAGCACTCTACTTTCAGGACTATTGAGAGTACGTATCCATGTCTATCCCGTTGATAACAGGTGGAACTCCCAAGGTTTGATCAATGCGCTCATTCTGCTTCTTTATCTATTTCAATGGGGTTTATTGTATTAGTATTGAATTTTGTAATTCGGGGTTAGCAGTTGTACCTGAACCTTCAGCACCGATAGCGTTTGGGAGTCCCTCGGTACTAGAACTTCTAGGTGCATTAGGTAACTCCGACTAGTTTCATTCTTGGTGATGTCGGTGACCTAATACTTGCATTTGTACTTAGGCCATAATATCCTTATTATCTGCTGATTCTAGTCTCTTTGTTGCCAGTTCCATCTGAGATTCGGATGCTTCACTAGTTATAATTTTTCGACGTGATGGTTCTCTAAAACGATTCGATGGTGAATTCCTCGGAGTTTAACACGGGCTTAATTGTGATAACTGTATTCTATTTTTTTCAGTTTGTTCAACAGTGCCATGTTGATTTTCAATTGATGTAATTGGTAGATCTCCAGCAATGATAATTTGCTAAGACTGATAAGAGCAAAGATTAATACAAGTTAATAATTTTAGATGAATAGTAGAATTGCTTGGGTCCCACGGTGGGTGCCAAATTATTTAACGTAAAACCTAAATTTTAGATAAATCAGTCAAATTTGTGTAATAGGTCCACAAGAACTTATAAAAATCCAATTAAACTAATCTTTGTTGAACGAATATAAGTAATTAAAATTAATAATTACAAATGAAAAATAATAATTATAGATTACAAATGAAAGGAGTACTTATTTTGTAAACCTAATGTAACTGTTCCCTAAAATCGTGTATGCCCGTTATGAATATTATCGACTCGTCCCATACGTCACACCTGGTGGATTTGTAATCGCCAAAGAGTTAATACTAACTCTCAGGTATTTCGGATTTTGTTGATTTGACTATCGTCTTATCTAGACATTGTTGACTATTCAGCTGATCCCATCTGTGATGACATTGTCTGGTCCTGATATGTTAACTCCAGGAGATACTATGGTTAACCTTCTGGTTCTTTAATAATAGCAGGTTCAACTGACTTAGAGCTGATTAAGAAATACTTGTCATGTATCGTCTGTTGCGCTGGCCACATAATATAATTGTATTTTACCAATACAATTGGTAATATCTTCTATTTTATTTTATGTGAAAGTGGGACAAGATATGAAACTTAAGATACTAATTTGACAGATATAATACATTAGTGAAGTAGTTAAGTGTGTTGACTAAGTTTATATTTTTGCAAGTCATATAGAAACAAAAGTGCGCCAAAAATATTTTTAAACGTTCTAAAATGAGAAGAATGTCGTATAAATTTAAGCTAAATTACATTTTGCTCTCAAAAGAAAGATGTAATTTGAAGAGGGGTTGCATTAAGAAATTCTTTTAAAGGGTTTTAAGAAATGTTGATGTCATACAACATTAAAATTTTACCTATATTTTATCCTTTAAAATAGCAAATACTTATTATACAATTATGTCGTTGCAGTAAATTTCATAGAGTGTTGTGAGAGTTTTGCCTTGATTTTTTTATCAATTTGGATTTACTCTTTTTGAAGTAAGAAAATAATATTTACCATAATTGATGACTTTTATTTGTTCTAATAGGAAAATATAAATTTTTTATATTTGGTCAACCCCTTTCTAGGAGAAAAGGTTTTGGACTTTTATAAATTGAAGATCCTTCCGTCTCACATAATAACACAATAACATCCACGATATAGTCATTAAAAGAGCCTTGTTTAGAGAGAGATTATTCTTTCGATAGTTTTGATATTTTTTTCTAAAATTAGTTTTCTTATATGTAGGTCAATTGACCAAACCATATTAAATTATTATGCCTCTTTTAGTATATTTCTCGTTGTTTCTAATTTTACCATTATTTAAGGTTTGCTTTATTATCTTCTGCATGACACCATGTTATCTCGATCCCAATAAGTGGTATCATAGCGAGGTTAGAGATAGGTTCAAGGCAAGTTCAGATTAAGCTACAACCAATTTTACGATAATGAACATTTCTTTCCGAAAAAATATTTTTTTAACTCATCCTTACTTTTAATGCATTAACTCCACTTTTTAACTCTTGCTTACTTTTAGCGTATGGGTTTTGTTTTTAACCTCGCTCACTTTTAACACATGACTTTATTTTTAATCTTACTTACTTTTAATATGGTCCAATATTTTTAACTCGTGCTCACTTTTAACGCACAAGGCTTCAATTTTTAACGATACCCACTTTTAACCATGTCAAGCACAATGATGAAGATTATGTGAAGAAGATGAATCAAGTTTTTCAAGAAAATTCAGGCTAAAAGGGAGAACTGTTATGGTTTTACCCTAATTTTGTTACTATATTTGAATTTTACTTTTCTTAAAGGAAGGGCAATAATATCTATCATAATTAATTTTTGTTTTTTTCAAAAGTAAAATAGAATTCTTCTCTATTTGATTAACCTCTTTCTTGGAGGAAACTATTTTAGAGTTTTATAAATTCAAGATCATTTGTTCTCACACAATAATACACAATGTGGTCATTAAATTTTTTTTGTTTAAGTGGAGATTATTCTCTCGATGATTTTATACTTCTTTTTTATATTAATTTTCTCATATGTAGGTCAATTGACCAAATTATATTAAAGTATTATGTTTTTTTACTAGGCTTTTCTTTATTGTCTGATATATCATCATTCAAGGTTTGCGTTGTTAACTTTCACATGATCCTTGTCATTTCGATCCGGACAAGTGTAACTAATATGCATAGATCATACGTAGTAGGTAATTTGCCTTATGTCAATAATATAAATCTCACTTATAAGATTTTAACAAATATCTATTGTTATCTACAAAAAAAATTATATTATCATTATTTATTATAGCATGTAATATTTTTTATTTTTGTGTAGATTTACTTCATAGGAGATGATAGTATATATATAAGTTAAACTCTAACAATAAATACTATTTAAATGATACGATAATGTAAAAATTATTTCTTTCGCAGTTCTCTCACCTTATTGGAACCTACAGTGTTTTCTTATGTGAAAAAGCAAAAAGGCTCCGCATGAAAATCATCATGAAGGGTGGTTTTTCTTTCTTTCTGACTATTCTCCCCTTCCTTTCAACGCGAGTAATCATAATGTTCTCTGCCTCACCTCTACCAAGATCCAGATCTTATGTTCTCCATACTCATTACCATTATTATTCTCATCCTAAAAATCTCAAAACATTATTTCTCGTCAAACAAATGGGGATTTTTTCATTACTTCAACTAATACCGATTAATGAGAGAGACATGTGTAGATTAATACAATTAATTATTTATTGATCATTATCATCACCACCTTCTTCTAAGAATATTCGTCAAGAGAAAAGTGTACATGTATTTGTTGTTCACGAGGATACTGATAATGAAGAAGATCAAGGAATTTTGGACGAATGAATGAATCCAAAGTCAGTTTCTTTTTTATGGGGAATCAAGCATCTTGGTCCGATCCTTTTCTACATCAAGAAATTAAAAAAACATTATTAGTTCATTTCTACACCTGGTTATTCTGCCTATGCCAAATATGGGTGTTGATGTATTGTACTTCAATATCGAACGAGGGAGTGATTTGTGTGATATCTAATTTTTCGCGTGCATAAATTATAGAAGGATCTGGTTTTTCTATGTGTTCCTTATACTATTGTAGCGGAATAATAAATGCGGAAAGTAACGACTACAAGTATTTTTACGTGGTAAACACCTGACCCAAAAGGTGAAACAATCACGGTCTACTACCCAGTAGGATCTTTTCCAACACTTCACTAAATCATTGAGCCAAAAATAACATTTACAAAACTCTTTGTAAACCTAAGGATTACCTCTAACCCTTTATGGCAACCAGCCTCTTGCTGTAGCGACAACTTCAAGTTAACTCTAACTTGAATACAACACTCAGAGTACCTAGTACAATTGCTTCTAGATAAAGCTGAAAGGTACAACTCAAAAGCCCTATTAAAATGAAACTAGAATAAAAGACAGACAGCTGGAACTGGTTCTTCTATATAGTTCATGTAGCTCCAGGTTCGCACACTTGAATCACACAAGAATTGCTTGCAAAATGCCTTAATATTTTGCTCTCAACTCATGTTTAACTTCAACGTTTTGTGCGTGCATATAAAATGAGAACATCCTGCAATATATAGAGTTAGTAGAATAGGAAATAACTAGAGTTCTAATGTTATACTCTTCCATGATGGAAGAGTTCTAGTTATCTTCAACTTCTTACTCCTCCCTCATCTAGGATAGAGTTCTCTTCGAGTAAGAATAGAGTTCTCTTCGGGTAAGGAGTCCTTTTCCTTATCACTTATGCAATATTTTCGTTCAGGAGATATCAGATATAACCACTTAAGCCTATCTCCTTCACGTGCATGCCTTGTGCTTGAATCTGCCCGTGTCTGTGTATACTGTGTATGGACCTAGTTCATGCTTGAGTTCCTTTGTCAATCATCAAAACAAACTTCACTTGGGCCAACAAATTCCTCTTTTTTTTATGATGACAAACTATGTGCTTTTCATAAGCATAAGCCATGTTTCAACTCAGCTCAACATCAATACAATGTTAGAACATTTTCCATTTTAAAGTCAGAAATCGTCAAGAACTAGGTTCATTAGGTTATAAACATCACAGTCCAAAGTAAAAGGCACAACTTATCTTCCTCCTTTTGGCATCATCGAAAAGTTGCATAATCATGTTAGATAACCAGATTTTAATTGATATTACTCATGGCCACTGGACTACTTCAAATGCAATCATGGAGTCAAGCATCATATATCAATCTAATGATATTATCTATCTAAGAAGCATCAAAAAATAATTAGAGCACAAAAATAGTTGATTAACATTGATACTAGTCATCCACAAAGCATAAAGAAAAATAAAGATACTGGATCATGAGCAAAAAGAAATCCCATCCAGGTCACTGGTTTGTATAACTAGGCTAGGAAGGTTTCAAGGATGGAAAGGACCAGGTTCTTGGTTTCTCGCCTGAAGTAGCTTTAACATATCATGAAGAATGCCTCCATTATTCTCCTTCTCCTTTGTAAGCTCAGCCCTGAGAGCATCCCTCTCAGTTTCTACTTCAACCTATCAATCTCAGCATCCTTAGTCCCACTCTCTTGTATCAAAGCTCGCACTTTGCTGTTCACAGGTAATTCTTGGATGAATCAGGTTCTTTGGGAGTAGTGTGGACTTCATAGTCACATGCAGTCAAGGTGTTTACCGCAAAGTGATCCTTAATATTACCAACTTCACATTTCTTGAGGGGTACCTTGAAGTGAGCAAGTACAACCGTGAGAATGAAACCATAGGGTATGGCATGAGTGTGGCAATTTAACCATTGTCCAGACATTCTATAACGACCAGGTCCATGAATGTGGCAATGTGCCTTCTTTCCTGCCTAGGCAGCACAACCTTGTTAACAAATTCAAACAACACTTTATGGATTGCTTCATCACACTTTTGTATACAGCC